ATATCGAGAACTCCAACAAATTTGATTAGACGTGAGACCGTGAATTGTACGGACCAACCGGGCTGTGGTGGATATGTGGGCCTGCTGTAACACTGTAAAAGTGTTTGAGTTAGTTTATTTAAAATATATATAGAGTACATGAGTCACAGACAAGGATCTGAGAGGCGCCAGTTGTCTGCCTGAGATCTCACACCTCAAAGCGTTAATGACCTCAAGTGACCTGAGGTCAGATCATGAGAATTTCACCTTGCTTCCGCTAAGCTCTTAATTGTAGTCTGGTAGCCTTCAAACAAGCCGACGTTTAAGGAGTGGCTTGGTAGTGCCGGAGGCTATCTATTTGTGGGCGGAGTTAGCTACTAGGTTCCCCAATATAAACTCGGAGAGCTATCCAGAAAGGAGGATTAATCAAGAGAACAGCAGACGAGCAGAGCAGGGAGGCTGTCGGCCGGCAGGGCGGGAGTCTCTGTCAACTACAGACCCCCCCCCCCTCTCTATTCAACTTAGACTCAGTCCTCGGTGAGTGAACATTTAGGTGACTTGGTCGTGTTTACATATGTTGTGTGATGATCAGGGGCAGTCAAGTTGTAGGGTTCTCGAATTCTTGGATGATGACTCACTTTGCATATTAAACTGGAACATTTTAATTGAATTGCTAAATTATGATACTTCATGTGAAATATAATTATGAATTTATTATTTAAATTGTGTTTAACTTTGTTCCCTAGAGATTTTGAGTTGAGGATTTGAGAAAGCCTCTGTAGTTACTGGTTTCATGGTTTAGAATGAGTACATGATAAAGATGGGACCATACTAATAATGATCTCTTGATAACATCTTTTGAGAATATTGGGATACAGACAAGTTCCATTCCTTGTCTTGTATGTAATGATCATGAATGGATGGTGGCAGCATTTCGTCTCCTACTATCTACTTTCGACTTCTACTATCTACTCTTCTACTTCTACCTATCTACTCCTCTCCCTCCACCCCTCTCTAAACTCTCACTTTCAACTAACGACCCTCCTCGCTCCTCCCACCTCTCTACCTCTCACCCCAAACCCTCACTAATTACTTCACTATTCATTTCTTTCCTTTCGTTTCCTCTTATACGTTTGTGGCAATGATTCTGTATTCTAGAGTTCTCTCTAGAGTTTCGGGTAGCTGATCCAGTTACGGCGCCTTGTAGTCTTAGCACCTAGGTAGTCAAATACCTAGGTTACAAGGTGTTGAACGAGAGAGGTTGCCTTAGGAACTCTGGAGGTGCTCTAGAATAGTTAGCTAACTGGGGACGGGATAACGGACTAGAGAGAGCTGTTTCCCCCGGCCTCGTTAGTTAACTGTGGGGTGGAATAATGGACAAGATAGAGCTATTTCCCCCACCCCCCGTTACACTGCGGGCTGCTCCAAGCAACAGCCTGTTGAGCCAAGCTCCCACAAGTCAAGCCTGGCCTCGGGCTGGGCTTGGGGAGTAGAAGAACTTCCAAAACCCCATCAAGCAGGTACTCTAGATGTTTCATCTGCTATTATACTACTATGGAAGAAGAGCCACGTACATGTGTGTGTCATCCTGAAAGGTCAGCAGACTTAGACATCACTGCTGCTAGGCACAGGCTCGGCTACAGGCTGGTAGGATGCACAGCCTGCTGAAGGTCTCTCCAAGTCGTTTCAACACTCTCCTTCTACACATAAGGGACGTAAATAGCTGACTTCTCACGGTTTTCAAAAGAGAACTTCATAAACACCTCTAAAGGATACCCAATCAACCAGCTTATGGTTCATACGTCAGGTTGCGAGCAACAGCAGCGTCCAACAGCCTGGTTGACCAGACCACTAACCTGGAGGTCTGGTCCGAGACGGGGCCGTGGGGACGTTGATCCCCCGAACAACAATAGGTAGTTATCAGGTAGCTTTGCCAGCATAACTATTTACATACATTACATGGCTGTGTAAATGAATGTGGAAAAAATGTACACATTTAGAAACATTCTTACCACAACTGTTCAAGAAATGTTTTTCATTTATAATGTGAGAGCAGAAATCTTAGCCAATTACATCTAGTTTGAGAACTGTACGAAGTGCATGCAGGCAATTTGTAACCTTTCCTCCACCGCCCCCGGTATGGGCGCCGGGTGCATGATAGGCAGATTAGTATTTATGTAACTAGCTCACTACAGATGTCAATTTTTTGGCTTCAAGATCATTGGGGGTCCAGTATTTAAACCCAATTATGTAACAACCCGTTTTGCCATTCGCCCGCAGGAAGCGTATGGGACACATAATGAACTAAACAACGGACTCATTGCGTTACGGCCTCTTGGAGTTATTGTGAAGTGTTTTGATAGTAAACAGTTGGCTGGTATTAGCAAATTATGTAATAAGCTCATCAGTGCTGTCACTTACTTAGCTAAATGAATTTTGGGGTTCAGTTCCTTAACCCATTGTGGGCTTCTGTAACCTTCACTACCACTCCTCCCTGCTACCCCCCCCCCTCTTTCTTCGCTATTACTTACCCTTCTCTCCTCGCTACTAGTTCCCCCTCTCTCACACAAACCACAGCACCACAACTGCTCAAAAAAGCAAAAGGTTATGGCCAATTATTTCTCTTCTTCCCCCCCCCCCCATCCTCCCTCGGCCACTCCACATCCTCCCTTCAGAGCCTTGTCAACACCCCTTCTCTCCCCTCTCTCTCTACCCTCCTCCTCCCTCTCCCTCCTCCCACAATTATGATTATGACATAGCTACAAAAAGTACCCTATAAACAGGAGAGGCTGTGGACAACGGGGTAGAGGTGGTGGTTGCAGGCAGTCATCCCCTGGCCAGGCTTTGATCTTGTCTCTCATTTACAGACCAAACCTCGTGTGCTAATTAGGTTCATGCTCCTTACCCCCCCCCCCCCCGTCCCATCCCAAAATCCTTATCCTATCTTGAGGTTATCTTGATGATTTCGGGGCTTTTTTTTAGTGTCCCTGCGGCCCGGTCCTCGACCAGGCCTCCACCCCCAGGAAGCAGCCCGTGACAGCTGACTAACACCCAGGTACCTATTTTACTGCTAGGTAATAGGGGCATAGGGTGCAAGAAACTCTGCCCATTGTTTCTCGCCGGCGCCCGGGATCGAACCCGGGACCACAGGATCACAAGTCCAGTGTGCTGTCCGCTCGGCCGACCGGCTCCCTCTGACCCCTTCCAAGTGCTATATAGTCGTAATGGCTTGGCGCTTTCCCGCTGATAGTTCCCTTCGTTACATACGTTTTGTATGTCGGTACAGCGAAGGCCTCTCGTCTTGCAGGGTACACGTTCGAGCCCCGATGATCCAAGTGGTTGGGCTACGTTCCTTATTCCCGGCCTCGTATCCCAGTTTTGCTTGTCCTGATATCCCAGCTCGCTATCCTCATATTCCTCCCAAGTGTTAGACAGCCGTACTGATGTAGAACGTTAAGTGTGAGGACAGGTTATTCGGGTTGTTGTGTATTTATGGGTTCTTAAGTATCCCACTGCACCATGATCAGGTGTACTCACCTAATTGTGCTTGCGGGGGTTGAGCTCTGGCTCTTTGGTCCCGCCTCTCAACTGTATCACAACTGGTGTGATGGGTGGCAGGTGCCTGGGGCGTGTGGAGCTGCTCTCGCGTGGTCTTCAAAAACACAGAGTAAAAGGCGGGGGTAGAAATAGCCTAAGCTACTCTATCCCTTTGAGATGTATTTCTTTATCTCAATAAACATACTTGAACTTGACCTCTGTACCCTCTGTCTTCACTCTTCCCACCTGGAAGTGGAGTCGAGACTGAACCTGACACAAAGGTCTGGTGAATATTTATGTCTACGCGGCATCAATAATCTCCATGTTACGGCGCCGGGTAAATTATAATGTTACCTGTGTAAGTCTTGTGTTGACGGCCACGAAAGCGCTCATTTTTTTTTTTGCATTTATATTTCACAAGTTTATATATAATAATATGCATACCACTGAAATTTATATATTTAAAATTTATATTTCTCAAATCAACAGTAATGTCAATGACCTTTCATAGTGTTAAATATTGTAGTCATAATGCCACTAAAATATGCCACACGTGACTCACTCAATAACACAGGAGAGGAGGAGCACCACTGAAATTTTGTTCTTCTCTTTAGCGCATTCTGAAGAGTCCGGTAGGACCAGAGGCAGGAAAGGAGAGAGAAATACTCCAAGCTCTTCTATCCTTCTGGGATGTGTGTTATCTAGATACCTGCTTGATGGGGTTCTGGGAGTTCTACTCTCAAAGCTCGGCCTGGGGCCAAGCTTGACTAGTGAGAGCTTGGTCTAACGGGCTGTTGTTTGGGGCGGCTCACAGGCCCATAGACCAACTGGGCTGTAGTGGATATATCTCAATACACTTGAAACAGTGAAGGAGAGGGGAGGGAGGGAGATGAGGGTTAGGGAGGTACACATAATACAACTATCAATACAATCCTTAAAGTTAGAATGGACATACAGCCCAGGAAAATAATTAATACGTGAAGGTTTTTATTATAGCGCAGCTGACACAACGATTCGTGAATGACGGGTCCTCTTGAGTATTTTACTCTACTCTAGTCCTAGAGTAGAGGTACACTACTCTAGTCCTAGAGTAGAGGTACACTACTCTAGTCCTAGAGTAGAGGTACACTACTCTAGTCCTAGAGTAGAGGTACACTACTCTAGTCCTAGAGTAGAGGTACACTACTCTAGTCCTAGAGTAGAGGTACACTACTCTAGTCCTAGAGTAGAGGTACACTACTCTAGTCCTAGAGTAGAGGTACACTACTCTAGTCCTAGAGTAGAGGTACACTACTCTAGTCCTAGAGTAGAGGTACACTACTCTAGTCCTAGAGTAGAGGTACACTACTCTAGTCCTAGAGTAGAGCTACACTACTCTAGTCCTACAGTATTTAACAAACCCGTGTAAACAAACGACTATGCTTGAATTCCATCTTTGTCATTGCATACTAGTATACAACAGGTTGCTATTTTCTGTTGCACAGGTGACGAGATCTTGGCGGTGAATGGCAAGACGCTCTCTGGCCTGAGTCACGCAGAGGCCATCGCGGTCTTCAGGTCCATCCGCGCCGGCAAGGTGATCATGCACGTGGGCCGCAGGACCTCCTCCAGCACAAGGTCAGTCCTCTAAGACCATTTATGACCTTGCTTCTCTGGTGTGTATAACGTGCTGTAAGACCCCCTCTTATCCCTTTGTTTACACTAGCTTACGCGACTATTTTTGTTTGCAAACTTTAATTTTACAAAGGTCAGAAGGGCTACAAGCCTCAGTGATATGTTTTGGTTCTGTGGCGTGACCCTGGCGTGGTGCTGCAGGGAAGGGTGCTCCTCACCCTAGCAAGGCCTTCATCTCTGTTTTGCTTACGAGGTTAGCTAGGAATGTTGAACTTTGAACCCGATTACAAATACTACACTTTATTAAGGGATGGTTAACAGAATGGCATATATATATATATATATATATATATATATATATATATATATATATATATATATATATATATATATATATATATATATATATATATATATATATTGATTTTATACCCGCATTAGGTCAGGTGATAATACAATGAAGGTGAAAAACAGGGGGGGATACATAAGGGATAAACATAGGGGCTGCAGAAGGCTTATTGGCCCATACGAGGCATCTCCTATCTAAACACAAAGATTAATCCAGTGTAATTGGCCTGTTATGTTGGACATTGTCTTCTGTGTTGGCATCGATATGTTCTTGTCTTGTCCTTACTCTCATGGTGGGTAGAGTAAATAGTTCCGTGATTTGGGTGTTCATGGTAGGTCGCTCTATTCTTATGTGAATTGCCTCAAGAATTTGTAATCTTCTTGAATCTTGGGTTTTGTCTATTATGCAAGTATTCTTGTTCAACATTTCTCTTGTTAGAGAAGTACAACATTTCTAACAAGAGAAATGTTGAACAAGAATACTTGCATAATAGACAAAACCCAAGATTCAAGAAGATTACAAATTCTTGAGGCAATTCACATAAGAATAGAGCGACCTACCATGAACACCCAAATCACGGAACTATTTACTCTACCCACCATGAGAGTAAGGACAAGACAAGAACATATCGATGCCAACACAGAAGACAATGTCCAACATAACAGGCCAATTACACTGGATTAATGTTTGTGTTTAGATAGGAGATGCCTCGTATGGGCCAATAAGCCTTCTGCAGCCCCTATGTTTATCCCTTATGTATCCCCCATGTTTCCACCTTCATTGTAATATATATATATATATATATATATATATATATATATATATATATATATATATATATATGTATATATATATATATATATATATATATATATATATATATATATATATATATATATATAATATATTATATATATATAATATATATATAATATATATATAATATGTAACAGTGGTGCTATCCTCTTATCAGTGGTGGTGTTAAGGGTGATAACAAATGCGTTTTCTGTTTCAGGTCTTCAAAGTCAAAATCTTGTGACGAGTTGGACAAGATGGAATAGAAGAAACACTGCAGTAGTCTCCAGGACGTGTTCCTGACGTGTCCCTGACGGCTGGGACGAGGGTATCCCCTGCCGCCTCAGATCTTACACTCAAGATACCTGCCAGATGTTTTGTATTACTAAACACTTAACAAAGTGTCGAGTGTGTCCATTGTGTGGCTAACCAAGCATAGAGCCAAAAAAACAGTAGTCACCACGAAGACTGTCAAGCGGTTCGACTAAAAATGTTGACTTGGTGGAATGACAAGGTGGAATTGTCACTGAAAAACGGACGAAACAGTATTATCTTCTGGAGTGAAATAGCGTTGGGTTTTGTATGGAAGGAGAGTGTCGAAGAGTCCAACCCCTCGCAGTTGTCACCCTATATAATGTGTTCTGACGACCTGTGTGACTATGCACACAGTAAAGTTTAAACAATCGATATTAAAGGGTGAGGTTCATAACGCAGGCTTTTGAACGTTATACTTACTGAGAGACTTGTGGCGTGCTGTTGACTTATTCTTGATACTGCACTAGAAGCACCAAGAATCTGAGCCAATAGGGTGTGTGGGGTTGCCTTTAAGGAAGTGATGTGGTCAGTGAACCAATACAGCGGATTGTACAGTGAAGGTCTGACTCTTGAAGTGAAATGGAAGAGGTTGCACCAAAGGGACAATTTGTTGGTGGAAGTCTCAGCATCATCCCAAGTAGAGGAGAGTGGGACATGGACCGTCCCTTTTTTGGTTTTGAGCCGGGTGGAAATCTGTAAAAGGAATGGTTGTGGTCGACCAGGCACATGTACCCAACTTAAATGTACAGGGCTACTTATCAATGTTGAGAGGTCCGCACACATACTGGTAGTCGCCTGGATGTAGCGGGCTACTTGTCAAAGTATTTCGTATACATCCGATTTTAAACAGTCGTATTTTGGACGTAGTAAAGGAGACCCAACCCTGGAAACACAAACCGAAACTGTCTCTATTTTCCGCTTGTTACAACTTGTAATAAAGTTATTACATCTTGGCTTAACCTGTTTATGACTTATTAGAACGTTGTTACAACTTGCTATATTGATTGTTATAACTGGTTAGGAAGTGTTAAAACTTGTTCGAACGTTGTACCAACGTCGTAGTTTCGGTGTGCGTTTGGCGGGAAGTCTTTCCTGAGCATTTTCATGTAGTTTCTGACATGAGAGATCACCTTTCCAGTAAGTGTTCTCAATTAACCTTTCAGGGATCTCAACATCCATATGTACTTGCCTACTTGTGACACTTATTCCAAGTTGCTTCCTAGTCATTCCAGTATATGTACTCGCCTATTCATACTTAATTGCATCATACTTAAGAGTTCATCTTTCCAGCATATGTACTTGCCTCTCTGTTTTTGTCCATTAGTATTTCTCATACCATTCCAGATATTTTCCCAAACAATTCCTAATTATTTCAGTGTGAGTGCAAGAATGAGAGTGAGAGCAAGTGTAGGTGAACCTGAGTGTTCTCGCCTAGTTGTGCTTGCAGGGGGTCAAGCTTCAGCTCTCTGGTCCACCGTTTTAGCTGCGAATCTATTGGTGTACAGGTTCTCAAGCATACTGAGCTCTATTATATCTACATTTGAAACTGTGTATGGAGTCAGCCTCCACCACATCACTTCTTAATGCCCTTCATTTATTAACTACTCTGAAACTGAAAAAAGTTCTTTCTAATGTCTGTGTTGCTCATTTGGGAACACGGCTTCCACCTGTCCCGTAGTGCGAATACCACCCTTGGGGACGACTGTTTGAAATCGGATGTATACAAAATGCTATGACGTGTATATCCACTCTCTACTGATAAGTAGCCTGATACATCTTGGTGAGCTACCCGGGTCCAGCTGACCACAACCATTCCAGATTACCACCCAGCTCCAAACCTAAAAAAGGACGGTCTACGTCGCACTTTCCTCTACTTTTCCCATGGACAACAGATACTTGTAGAAATGTAAATAGCTCGACCTTGTTCTTTTGCGAGGCAGCAAGCCATGTTCTGAAAATTGACAAATATTTCTTAGGTAAGTGAAGGTATGAACAACTGAATTAGTTTTCAAATTGTATGGTAGTGAAAAATAATTTGTACAGGTTCGATTCCCCACTGCAGGACAGAGACGTTTGGGAAACATATCCTTTCACCTGATACTGCTGTTCATCTAGCAGTAGTAGTTGGCTAACAGTTGTGGTTACGACTAACTTGGGGAAGGTTAGTCGTTCGCCTAGGGAAGAGGGGGCAAGTGTTGGGGACCTCGTTAAAAGTAACAAGCTTCCTGTCCCTGAGAATAAGAGTTTATGTACCAGGTGAATCCCTTCTCTCGTGTGTGTCGACAGGTGTATTCCTGCCTTGTGTATGTGTGGAGATGGGTATATTCCTGGCTTCGTGCGCGCGTGTGTGTGTAGGCGGGTGTATGCCTGTGTTAGGGTGGTGCAACATTAAAGTTAATATATTTTGTTTAATCTAGAAGTTGCTGGCATAAGTACAATATAGTTACTTAACTTCCAATTAAGTTCCTCTTGCGCACACACACATACACACTATAATTATAGTGTTTCTTTTCCCGACAGTTGAGAGACGGGACCAAAGAGCCAAAGCTCAACCCCGCAAGCACAACTAGGTGAATACGTGCGCGAGCACACGTGTACACACACACACGAGAGATGTACAGACGTTAATTGTGCACCTTCTTCTCTTCACTTTATTCCATATATTTTTGTTACCCAATTTTGGTTCTAGTCTTCTTTATTATCAACTGTTGTCGTTTTGTAAAATAAAATTTCTGTTGAGCCTCTTTCATGTTTTATTTTTTTAATTTTCCTGATCAAAAAAATCCCTCGTGACAAAAATTTGAGGTATGAGATTAAAATTGATTCACTATTAGTATGTGAATCAAATACTAATCATAGACTATATGAAGAACAGTGGGTGTCAAAAAGCTAGCTGCGTGATGCTAAAAATCCTCGTCACACAGGATTGGCGAGTCGTACAGAGGCATGTGATCAGTAGTCTGCGCTGCCAGACTCGATGCATTATGAGGATATCAACACAAGAGTGAATAAGGCAGCAGTGATATTAAAAGTCCCCATCTCGTAGGATGGTTAGTCATATATATATGTTGGTCTCGATAAACTCTTGAGCAAAAGGCATGAAGGAATGGCGGTCATATCCGGAGGACTAAATCACTTTGAAGGGCGGGCAGGTGACGGGTGGAGTGGGGAAGGAAGACAGGAATGGGAGGGTGGGCGGGGAAGCTGACAGAACCGATGAAGCTGTTGACAGCTTCCCTCCCCATTAAGGACGGTGAGCTCATCATATGAGACGGGACACCAGGCGGTCCCCGAGCCCTTCCTCCCTGGAACCTGTGTTACAGCGGCTTGCTCACCACGTCACGTGAGCCCTTAGACGCAGCTGGCTCACTACGTCACGTGAGCCCCTAGACGCAGCTGGCTCAATACGTCACGTGAGCCCCTAAACGCAGCTGGCTCACTGTCACGTGAGCCCCTAGAAGCAGCTGGCTCACTACGTCACGTGAGCCCCTAGAAGCAGCTGGCTCACTACGTCACGTGAGCCCCTAGACGCAGCTGGCTCACCACGTCACGTGAGCCCCTAGACGCAGCTGGCTCACTACGTCACGTGAGCCCTAGACGCAGCTGGCTCACCGTCACGTGAGCCCCTAGACGCAGCTGGCTCACCACGTCACGTGAGCCCCTAGACGCAGCTGGGTGCGTGGGATGGAGAGAGCAGGAAGCCCTGGCTGTGAGGAAGGAATTAAGGAGGGATTAGCGACGGTCGGACAGTAAGAAGTAACCGCCAGACGACATAACAGCTGCCGGAGTGGGCTCCAGGTGGGCCGTAATGCTCAGGAATGTACAGGACCAACCCGTCCTAATAGCACGTCGCATTTTGACGTATAATTTACTCAAGGTCAAAAACTGTCGTTCTTAAAAATGGCAGCGGCTCGCGAAATTGACAATGTCCCGTTTTCTGCCCGTGGGTTCTTTGGTAGGTTAGGATAGGGCACTTTAGTACAACAGATGTTAAACGCTCGCGAGAACAGGCTGACCGGACAACTAGGTGTCGGGGGTCGGCATTTACCGACGAATTGGTCCTTGTCTACCTTGAGGCGGTTCCGGGAATTTGCGTCTCCTAGGCCTGGTTTTCGGCTCCTGGTTGACGGTCTTTACTTGTTGATGATTTATAGGGTTTTTCTATTTCCCGGGTGATTGCCTGAGTAAATATAATCTCACAAACCTTTGGTCGCCGCTGTACGCAGTCCGACTTACGAACAGCCTAGTAGATCTAACGCTTTTTGAACGTGTTTATCCATTTTACTCTTGAACGCAGAAGTCTGTTGGTAAAGTCTCTAAAACTGGAAGGCATTGACAGGTTTCAGATAATTACAGAACAGCCTGTAATCGTGCTTACTGCAACTCTACTTCTCAATTGGGTTAATTTCCACAGCTTATATGCAGCCTAGTCTCCACAGTTTATATGCAGCCTAGTCTCCACAGCTTATATGCGGCCTAGTCTCCACAGCTTATATGCAGCCTAGTCTCCACAGCTTATATGCAGCCTAGTCTCCACAGCTTATATGCAGCCTAGTCTCCACAGCTTATATGCAGCCTAGTCTCCACAGCTTATATGCAGCCTAGTCTCCACAGCTTATATGCAGCCTAGTCTCCACAGCTTATATGCAGCCTAGTCTCCACAGCTTATATGCAGCCTAGTTTCGTGAGGAGAGACTGTTGTGTACACTTGGAACTTCTCTCACTTCAGTATTTTCCACATGTATATAATCTTTCGTGTTTACATTTGAGATATGTTAAGCGGTAACTGTAATTTATTGCCTATATCCCGACAGTAAACGGTGTGGAGGTCAGTAGTTAATGTGCAGTAATAAGTTACAAAAGTGTCTTTAAGAATGCCATAATTGGTTTGACATTTGTGTTAACTATTCTTGTTGCCCCAGCCCGTGCTCAGGCCAGGCTCGTTAAAGCAGCGGCCGTCCCCCAGGACGTATTCAACGATTTTAACATAGTGTTTATTAATAATAGGTTTGTAATATATAATTTAATATTATTATTCATTAAAGTTCTGGGAATAACTAGGCGTAGGTCAGGTTAGATTAGATGTTTAGGTTCTGTTGGCAATTATTTGTAGTACGTAGGTGAAGCACTTCAACCAGTCCTCAGACCAAGTCCATTACATCCAGTGGTCGACCCCATAGACGCATTCATAATTTTTTACATTCTCTTCATTCAGAACAGGAATGTTTTCAAATATAAATTAATATTATAATATAGTAGCATATTGTACATATATAGGCATAGGTTAGGTTAGGTGTTTAGGTTCCGTTGGTGATTATTTGTATTTCTAGTACGTGAATGAAGCATTTACAGCGTTGTGGTTCGAACAAAATTCGTCAGTGAAGCACTTGTTTCGGAAGTGTTCAAACGTCATCAGTTGTGAGTCGTGTGTGAACTGTTTGTCATTCATAAACGGGGTTTGGCGGGTGCATGGAATCACTTTTGGGTCTTTGTTTGGAGAACGGGCTGGCATTTCAGCCCGTCCTCCAAACAAAGATCCAAAAGTGATTCCATGCACCCGCCAAACCCCCTGTTTATGAATGAAAAGCGGTTTACACACGACTCGCAACTGCTGACGTTCGAACATATCCGGAACAAGTGCTTCACTGACGAATTTTGTTCGAATCACAACGCTATAAATGCTTCACCCACGCACTACAAATACAAATAATCGCCAACAGAACCTAAACACCTAACCTAACCTAACCTATGCCTATATATGCACAATATGCTATATTATAATATTAATTTATACTTGAGAAAATTCCCGTTTTGAATGAACAGCATGTTAAAATTTATGAATGCGTCTGTGGGGTCGACCGCTGGATGTAATGGACTTGAGTCGAGGACGGGTTGGGCATTTACAGGTTACAGTTCGAGCAGAAGTCGTCAGCGAAGCCCTGTTCGAACGTCATCAGTTGTGAGTCGCGTGTAAACATTTTTATTCATAAACGAGGCATATGGCAGCTGCGTTAACGAGCAGTTGGCCTTTGTTGATGAGGACTGCCTGTGTTATTCAGCCCATCATTCTCCTAGAACAGCGGGTCCCAACCAGGAATTCGTGGAATGTTATCTGATGGGTCGTAGAAACAAAATTCAGAGATCTAGTATATCTGAATCATCGAGAACTGGCAAATGGTGAGGATCCTCATTAGATACTTTGTCAAATTTTATAAATGTGGGAGGAGGAACACGCAGGGCTTTTGAGTATTAAAAAATATAGCTTGTGAGTCCAAAAAGCTTGTGAAGTACTGGCCTAGTAGTTATGGCAGTCGTTTAATTGCATTCTGTAAAATGTAAGGTCTTCTGACATGATTCCTCCGAGGTCTTTTATGTTACTCTTTCACTAAATAGGTCTTTTATGTTACTCTTTCACTCAATACTCTTGTTTGACGGTATTTTGTATGCTTCGTGCACGTTGTGTGGTGTCAACGGTGGCCTCTGTGGATCTCTGACATTGTTAAGACCAAGGCTGAGTGTGGTGAGAGAAACCTGACAGGCTCAACGCCAGACGTGTCTCTGTTAAGGCTAATATAGCTGAAAGGAATATTGCCAGACTGTTTTGGAGGGAACTTGTGGTGAGGCGTCTTACAAAACAAGCTAGAGACTCGTTTTCTGTGGTTATATTTGACCAAATGGGAGACAATTGAAGGTGATCTTAATTGGTGATGATGCTGGAGGTTGAACTGGGTAACAGGTTAGTGGTTGCCGTGACGGGGTTTATGAAGGTAACTTTACCATATGTTAGTACGAAGGCAGTAAACATGCGTGTATGAGTAATATATATATATTATATAATATATATATATATATATATATATATATATATATATATATATATATATATATATATATATATATATATATATATATAATATTACATTATTATTATTATACACACACATGATGCCACTGAACTGTTGGAATAGATGAAACAGTCAATAGGATTGAAGCCAACGCCGCTCCGCTCATGTGGCGTTGAACTCACTGATGTTTTGACAGCTGAAGGGAGAAGAGAGGAGGATCTCTACCGTTCCTGGCCACTATCCCACTTGAGTGCAGTAGGGTCTAAACACTCGCCTCGTGCACACACACAAACATATATATATATATATATATATATATATATATATATATATATATATATATATATATATATATATATATATATATATATATATATATATATATATATATATATATATATATATATATATATTATATTATATTATATAATTACCTAAAACCCTGATAATAGTAAAAATATTTATGTTGAACGATTCATTTTGTAATTATCTTCTACCTTTCTTCTACATTGGTTCTCTCGCTGTGTTTTGGGGAACTTAAAACACTCGTCGCTAGATGGCAACAGACGGACGGACTAACAATCAGTCAGACGGGTTGCATGAGTGAAAAGTACTTTACACACGCAGCCCGTCCTCACCAACAAAGACCAAATGCTCGCTAATCGACACGCCAAACCCCCCGTTTATGACTGAATAGCGGTTTACACAAGACTCACAACTGATGACGTCCGAACACTTCCGGAACAAGTGCTTCGCTCACGTCCTCTTTTCAACCAACAATTCAGCCCGTCCTCCAAACAAAGATCCAAAAGTGATTCCATGCACCCGCCAAACCCCCTGTTTATGAATGAAAAGCGGTTTACACACGACTCACAACTGCTGACGTTCGAACATATCCG